AAACACACACACACACACACACACACACACACACACACACTAAATGAACAAAGGAGCAGGAACATTTCGAACTACATGTGTAAAAGTCAGCAATATCACTAATGATAATCAAATATAAAAAATTATAATACACACACACACACACACACACACACACACACACACTAAATGAACAAAGGAGCAGGAACATTTCGAACTACATGTGTAAAAGTCAGCAATATCACTAATGATAATCAAATATAAAAAATTATAATTAAAAAAATGGTCCAGTAAATGGGAATTCTGGGGGCGCTGCCTGATCCATACCACAGTCAATAGAGTACAGTAAAAGTGCAGGCAGGGCACTGGACAAATTTAAGTGAAATAGTTTGATAAATATACGTTATTTACATTGTATTGTGTGTATTCTGTGTAAATGTCATGTTTTCACTTTTGAATTTCCCGCCGGCTCTGCCCCCCACTGACGCCCGAAAACAAAAATAAAAGCCGAATGCCGGCATCGGCCAGGCGAACACAGCAGAGGGCACCGCGGGCTCGCAGGGACAAGGTAAGTAACCCCGAGTGTGGCTCGGGGTTACCGCACTTGGTACTGAAAATTAACCCTGAGCCACACTCGGGAATACCGCCAGGGAGATTAAGAAAAAGAAAAAAAAAGTGAAGAAAAAAAATGTAGCCCTTGTTTAGGTTAGCCCATATACAAGTTAAAAACCCCAAGTAAAGCAGATCATTTTATTTGACTAGTTCATTAACTAGTTAGCTCACCTTAGCAGTACCAGTCTGTGATCCATAGAAAATTTTCACTCCGGAAACAAAGACTTGTTTTTCTTTCGGAATCTCTTCAGTATTGTTTTTTAGCACTTCATCGGCGCCTTGCAGAGAACCATTTTGAGACAAAGCTTCCCCCTTTGGAAAAAAACAAATATGAAAAATAGTTACATCTCTAAAAACAGGAAAACAGATCTGCTTAGAGACTACAAGAATTAAGTGGTAATAAATGAGAATGTTCCATAATCAAAACATGGATCTGCAAGCATAGTGAAAGTCACATTAAATGTACTCCTAAACTCCTGTTACCATTTCAGCCTAAAACAATATAATAAAAATACACTATAGTTTCCTAATTGAAACAAGTAGGCACTTCATTTTGGTTGCAAAACAATAACAACAAACAGAATATATTTGTTGGCAATACTTGTCAGATGTAATTATTAAGTCCTTAATATTTAATGAGACCTTTTGTTCAAAACACTGTTTAAGCTCCATCTTAGATGGTGGTAGAGCTTACACAGAATTGATGACATCTTCCTCAAATTATAATGTTCAGGCCTGGCAAACAGTCACTCAGGCCCAGTTGTTGCATCTGGAGGGGGGGGGAGAGACATGCTTACCCATACCTGAAGCAACAAGTATATTGTATTTTGCAAAGGCTCTTACAGAGCACTGGACCTATAGGGTAGCATGGTAAAGGTGAGTTTTTAAGAAATAGACTAGTTCCAGTCTATGAAAAGACATCTTCAACATGTCTTTTTAATAGAGCTCGGCTGTGCTAATGCAACATTTAAAATACACCACAGTTTATAAATTGTTTATCTGGACATCCATTTTTTAAACACATTAACTTCCCTAAAGATTTAAAAAGAAAGAATGGTTCCTTAATCAAAAGGCAATTACTTGGCCATTCAACCTCATTTTCATGAACAATGCAAGAGGCTCTAGTCATTCACTTCACTGTGTTATCTTGTAATTGACTCATTTTGCAAGTAAAGAGCTTAGTCTCTTGTAGGACAATAGAATACAGGTAGTTTTTACAGCCTATAATCATTTTAACAATATATAAAA